GTAATATGAAATATAAGTACAAAAAGGGGAGAGACCCATGAGAGGGCTAAAAAATGCTCTCCAATTAGATAAGAGAGAGGCAAAACTATATTGTTGAAAAAGAGGGAGCATTTACACCAAGATACAACCAAAACAACTATAGATTCAAAAAGATGATGTGATGAGCGCTCCCTTCCTTGGAAAATTTGAAGATTTCGTTCTAGTCAAACAGTCCATAGTAAAGCCCGGGCAAAATGGAGCCAAAGACATTGCTTTTCCTTTTTGAAGGGATGACCGGTGAGAGTATAAGCCAATAGTTGGGAGATATCCTTTGGAAGAGTGACCAACTATCCAAAAAGAAAGAGGAGTTTGTTCCATAAATCAGTGACCATTTTACAAGAGACAAAGATGTGCCCGATGGATTCTACATGTTGCTTGCATAAGGATAAGGACAGATAGGGCATTCTTCTCTGAAGCTTGTCCCGTGTGTTGACAGTGTGGAGGCTGGTTTCCCAAAGAAAGAAAATCTTCTTGGGGTAGAGATCCTTCCAGATAATGTTGTATACAGAGGAGGATGCCTCTGTTGTAGCTGATCGGTGGAGGTCTTTAAGGATGGAGGAGGTACTGAAATGACCATGTGATTCCAATCTCCAAATAACAACATCCCTATCGGTTGAAAGGTGAGATGAGGAGAAATTGTGCAAGAGAGAAGCCAGGTCCACAATCTCTGCCTCCTTGAGACTCCTTTGAAAGTTTATGTCCCATGAGCTATCACTGGGAGACCAAAGATCACGAACAGCCCCCGATTTTTTGTTGTGCAAAGCAAAAAGGAGAGGGAAAGAGTTGCATTCATTAATCATTAGTGAGCCATACATCTTTCCAAAATTTATCAATGGATTCCGAGCCTACTGTATAAGCAATTGGAGAATTACATAATCTCCAATGAGAAAGATCTATGAAAATAGATAATGGAGAGCTCTAGTTTATAATATTATTATTTAAAAAAAAATTATATTATTGTTAGTAGTCCTTTTTACAATGTCTGTGCATGGAGAACTCAAGTTTTGGCCGAAGGGTCATTATAACTTTCTGGAAACATTCTTATCCAATGAAAATGAAAATTTTTGTTTAGACACTTTTTTTGTTTGTTTGGGGGGTTGAATGCAATGGTAAAAGCAAGATTTGGTTGAGGCACCATAGGAGTTCTTGTACCCTAGCTGCTGTATCCTTTAAAAAATAAAGCGAGGGGCTGTTTGGTATGCCATTCGTATTCTGTTTATTGTTTTCAGAATTCAACTAATATCTTGTTTTTTAAAACCATTTTTTGATTCTATGTTCCAAATAGTGGAAATACTGAAAACTAACATTTTTATGTTTTTATGTTTTCACGTTGTGATAAAGATTATTTTTATTTGACAGGAAAATGTTTTACTTAATTGTTGTGTACAAAAATATAATCTTTAAGATTTGCTTATTTGTTTAGCTTTTTATACTTTAAATGTGTACTCTTTTGGGTGCTTGGTTGGAAAGTAATCATCGTTCTTCTCTATTTCATATGAGACTTTTCAAGATTCCTGTGTTTATGGAATGGTGTACATTTCGTAAACTGGAGGGTTATTTTGCAACTCCTTTGACTAATTTGGGAGGTTTCCTCTCCTTCCATTTATTGTTTTCCCCCTTTATTTAATGCCATTTATTGAAAAAATTAAACACTCTTATAGCGTCTAACTTTTTAGGAATCAAGGCCATAAATTTATAAATGGATATCCTTGGTTGTTTTTTTGTGGATTCCTTATCCTCTTTTGTTTACATTGCCATTATTTATTAACATAATCATTCTGAATATACCTCTACACAGAGACAAAATCGTTGCAAGTTAGTAACATGGTAAATATTGTAAAACTGCGTAACTTAGAAAGTCTAGTTTGTACAAATTCTTATCTAAAAAATGTCTAATTGATACAAATATTTTTAGATGGTATGGAAGGAAGCCCTGAAACAAGTACAGGAGGAGCTGAAGAGACAGCAGGAGAAGAAGGTCATGGTAAGGAGAAGAAGCCACTAATCTCCTTCATATTAATTTGCGAAATATGTTGGACTGAATAGTTGAGATATTTGCTCCAGGAAAAGAGAATGAATGTTCTACATCGCACAAGGTTGACGAAATTGACTCACTTGGTTTCGCCGGTCGTCGTTGTGTAAGTTGTATGTGTTTCTGGTTTGTGTCCAAAGCCATAGAACAATTTATGTCCTTCGCGCTAAAACCTATCCTTTTATTTCAGAATCAAATAAATGGGGAATCATCCAGTGTACAAAACCATACAGAAAGAGAGATCTGTGAAACAGAAAATCTATCCATGCTATCTATGGAGTTTTCCAAGGACAATGCATTATATGATTTCAGTGAAGAACATGTAAGACAATTGTTTTTATTTTTATTTTTTTATATAGAAGTAGGAATTATTTCTTTATATGCATATGAATGATGCATTCATTATATAAATGATAGGTTCAATCCGGTTCGATTGTTTGTGCTCATCTTAAATGTTTGTGTCCTTGTTATGATATGGTTGCAATGAATACCGGAGGCTGAGAATTTAAATGTGCGACTATAGTAGGTCTAATACGTGAAAATTCCAGGCTTCAGTCATAGTGGGTTTTAGTTTTGTCCAATTAAGTTTTTAAAACTAATCTACAAACTGTATATTCAAATTCTGAGTAATTTTAGCACCTGGAACCTCATAAGTTTTACAATTAAAGAAGCAAACTAAAAAATGCCTCAGTTACCACCCGAAGAGTGACTTTGATGAGAATAAACTTTGAATAATTATTTCGTGTACATGGTTATTTTTCTTTGTCTGGTGCTCCAGGTTTAATATAAAAGCACAAATCCCCAATGGTTGCATTTAGTTATTAGAAGCTCTTGAACAACCAAGAGTTCCAAGTTCAAATTTCGTAATGACTATTGAGATCAACATTTATTGTTCCTCGATGCTTAGATTGTTTGGATCAGCAGAAGGTACAGTTTTGAACTTGATAAAACCATTTTTGCATGAAAGATGGAGATCTTTTGCATTGGGGGACATTCCAAATAATCATTGCATCAATGGCTGCTTAATGTGCCTCTATGTAGAAGGTCAATAGTCTTACATGGTTATCAAGAGATTAATAAAGAAGGAAAGGTGTAAATGACGGGAGACCCAGGCTCTCTTACTGTGTTTTAGTATCTGCCACCTTCCATTGTTCTCATACTGCAGATATAATGAATATGTCAATTTTATTTTAAGAGAATCTCAACCGATGGGATGTGTTTATGATACTTGTTTTTGTAAAGAATTAGAAACATTATTGACATATTATATGCCCGCCAAAGCATGAAGTCTTGAATATCATGGTTCTTGGAATAAACAAAATAAAACAAATATAGATGCATGTATTAATTTTTACTTAGCTGGTCAGAATTTTCTATCAATGGACTAGTGGTCCAGGTTAAACTAGAGCAGGGAAGATTGAAGAATGACCGATTTATTAATTTTATGCAAATACGTTCTCTATTTTCATGTTTATTTTGATTCGTGAATGGGTTAGTATTGGTTTTGATGAACGCATGGTCCATGGAAACTCCGTATTGTACACTTATTTTTTGCTGTGTTGTCTTTGCATAGGAAGATGATGACTATGATTTTGCTGGTGGAGAAGAAAAGGTGTGATATATGGATTCAAACTACTCGATTTAACTGCCTTGAAGATTGCCTTTTACCATGTTATCTTAGTTGCATTTATTTTTTCATTTAAGAAACATACCTCTCTTGTATGGTGAGTAAATGCACGTAACTTCATGGCATCATGCAAATTTACCCTTGCGCTTGTTAAAACATTAATTTGGTGTCTAATAAGGGTTTTCGTGAAGTTCTTTCTTATTTTATTTGCCCTTCAATATTGCTGGAAATGATAGAAACATTGAATAGATGGTAGGAAGAGACTAAAACAATAACTTTTAAGTCTTTTTGATGTAGTATGATTTGATTAGGTGTTTAAATGTAGTATTAATGGTAAGGTGCTTATTTTGTTTTGTTAGTTAGATTACTAGTTAGTTACTGTGGACTGTGGTTTACTTTAGTTAACCATTCTTGTAATTAAAGCCCATTGGCCCATTAGCTAGGCTTTCCCTTTTTTGTACACTTTTTTTGTCATTAATAAGCTTTTTGGCGTCACCACTTCTGGTTAATAGATCTTAGTCTCTTAGATCAATAATATATAGGCTTTTAGCTTCTCAATGACATTGCATGTCTCATTACAACGTAGTATGAGTCTAAAATCTTGTCAACTTGATAAGCAACGAGATCTCTTGGAATAACAAGATGTTTAGATACTGTTCATTCAAACCAAGTAATTTCATGTGGCATCATTTTTTTTATTTTCAACAATTTCTAATTTCCCATACTTATTTATGCTTCACTTGGTCTCTATATCTAGGATGATGAAACAACTTTGTCAGAGGAGGAGAAACTGGAAAATGTGGATTCAAACAATGCCATGGATGAGGTAACAAACGACTTTTGCAATCTCTACAAATTTTAAAGTTTTTCCTTAACGAGATTCTATATATAAATTATTATTATAACTGCAATTTCTTTTGTTTTTGATCATCACTTCTTTGTGATTTGTGTTATTTGCAGATTTCAATGCTGCAAAATGAGAGTGAAATACCTATAGAAGAACTACTTGCAAGGTATGAAAAGGTAGGTGTAACTTAATTTGTTTCTATATTATTTCTTATTTTCGTGCCCTTCTTTTTTTTGG